AGACAGAGAAGGTGCTGGGGAGAGACAGACATTAGATTGTTCATGCTATTATAAGGTAAGCCCTAGGAAGCCTTACAGACAAACACCCTGATTCACCCAAATACCCTTACATACAAATACTCTGATTTTTTATTTCAGGAAGAAGTCATGCCCTGCGTTTTGGGTGTTACACAAACAAGGAAGTATTGAAGAAAAATCCTGGAAGCAAGGGGAAATTCCTAAATGCTACCCACGCTGGGAAGAACAGGTTATGCTTGCTTGCTGGGCAGCTCTACAGACACACACGGTCCTGCAGAATAAGCAAGGAAATTAGACCTGTTCTCATTAGACTGAGAAATGCTGTAAAAGACACTCCCATTCACAGCTTAAATTGTGTACCTTGTTTCTCCAAATGGTTCAACTAGCCAACAGGACAACTGCTGCTCCAAGCTGCACCCACCTAATCATTAGCTAAACTATCTCATGAGCATTAGCATTCACTGTTTTACTCCAGATAGCAACCACACCACAAGTTAAGAGAACACAAACCACAGAGAAACACAAAAAAAGGCACTGGTAATATTAAGACGTCTAGTCTGTTATCAAGTCCTAAAGCACTGTGTCACATGGCTTTCCAGTATGCCCTAAAAGAATGCATGAGCTTAAAAGCAGAACGCTTTATCTGACAAGGGAAAACTTTCAGCGCACATACCAGCAGCAGGAGAAAAATTGATATACGCTGACCATGGCTATGCACAAGCAAGAGGAAAGACGAAAGGTTCAAGGGAGGCCTTGCCTACGTTCTTCAAATGTTCAGTTGGGATGCTTAAAAATACTCCTTTCGGCAACACAAATATAAATAGAAAAGGTCCATGCAGAAGAATTCTTAACGGCACAGTAAAAATATTAACAGCAACTCTATTATCAACGGCTTGAACAAGTTCAGACACTGGCCTGGACAGTGAAGCTGAACACTGGCATTCATCTTACACATCAGAGCACGTCAAAAACGGACTGGATATCCGAATTCGTAAGAAAGACACACTTCCACTAACGGTTCACCGCAAGGCAGTTCAAGTCTATTATCTGCCATTAGGAAGAACTTCCTAGCTAACCTTCAAAGTATTGCTGTTTGGAAAATATTTGCCATTACTTTTGTTGCTTTCCCCATTTAAGACACATTAGGGCAAATTCACAGTGACACAAGATTTAAAGTAGGTAGCTTAAAAAAAAAAAGAAAGAGACAGTAAGTACACACTGATCACTGTACTATCCAAAGACGAGTTAGAGGTTTCACTGGGTGTATGAGGCAGTTTCCCAGGCAAGAAGAGTATAAGACCGTAAGAATTTAGGATGCATTTCCCTATGTTTGCACATACTTTAGTGGCCAGAGGACTGTCAGCAAGCACAGGGACTTCAAGTTTTTCCCAAAACAAGCCCAAGTGAAGTAGAATAAATCACCAGTGTATATTTGTTTGCTCACTATTTGACACATCTCATACAGAGCACATAGGTCCAGCCTATTCCATCAAATAACACCATAATTATCCGAAGCACACAGCATCTCCAGTAAGGCATTTGCAAACATATCCAAACAACCTCTAAGCCTTGCTTGCTCTCTTCAGCCAGAAAGATACAATTAGCATTACTTTCTTTTTAATTCCTAGCATTTTTTGGGTCCCAGCACGTGCAGAGGAAAAAGAACAAAGAAGGGAACAAAGAGGCCACCTTTGCAGAAGCCACAGAGTGTTTCACTGCTTTTACCAAACCCAAGGCGGTCAGCTGCACCATCAAATTCACTTGCAATGAATGATGAAAATTTGGGGAACTAAAAGTGGAAAGCTGCGCTTGTTGGTAGCCAGATAGAAAACAATAAATCTATTACTTACAGATCTAATGCCAAAAACTTGATAAAATTCACTCTCAGAGGTAAGTGACCCATAAGGACTTCAGGTTGCAGTTCTAACTGGCTACAAACAAGACCTCCCAATAATTTCCAACTGGAACCAGACAATCCCTTTCTCTGTCACCAAGACATTCCCCTATAGACTTCAGAACAGTTACATTCTGGGTGGACACCCCGTGAGTTTCCTTCATGTTATGTTAATACTGTCCTGAGTTGGAAAGCATCTTCAGCCCAAGCTTACCGTCGACTTCTGGAACAGGTTGCCCAGAGAGGTTGTGGAGTCTCCTTCTCTGGAGATATTCCAGACCCGCCTGGACAAGGTCCTGTGCAGCCTGCTGTAGGTGACCCTGCTTTGGCAGGGGGGTTGGACTGGATGACCCACAGAGGTCCCTTCCAACCTCGAACATTCTGTGATTCTCAGCTGCCATATTCCCACCTATCATGAAGACCTGCTGAGCCAAAGACAACAGCCCCACACATTTGTGTCTCCTTCTTGAAGCATAAATCTGATAGCAGAAATTCCTATTAATAAAATTAAAGTGTTTTTGTAAAAATACAATATTCATATTCTAGACAGCTAACCTGGCAGCACTTCCCAGATCAAAGCAGGCCTGTCAGACTTTTATTCAAGTCTAGCCCTCCAAGAGAACTCACCAAGACCACCAGGACAAGCATACGGCTCCTCCTGAAGCAAGCGAGGACCCCTGGTTTTTAGCTTCCGTACTGGGAATCGGATACAGACTTTGAGGGAGGACGGGTTACGCTGCTCTGTTCTGCAGCAGCTCACATAGGGCTGAAACAGTATCCCAGCATTTCCCTGGACTGCTTAGGATCAGTAATAGGCAACTTTTTACCCTCATTCTTGCAAAGCTCCACATATTGACATCTCTACAGAGCCTGGTAACCCCATTTTAACCAAAGCTGTTCCTAGTTGCTTGCTCCAAAGCAGAAGCTATCACCACTCCCCCTATCGAAGGACAGGCAGGACAAGCAAGAAGCCAGAGCCACCGCAGCCAGCCAGCAACCTCTCAGGGAAGCCAGCAACCTTCCTCCAGCTACCGTCTGGGAAGCAGCAGTCCACCTCACGCTTTGGGAATCGTTGCAGCTTGTCATGCTGCTTGTATTCATTTTCAGATTCAGGCAGGATCCCAAATTTTTGGCCTCGGTTTTCAGTAGCTGCAAAGTCTGAATAAGCCTGTTCTTCGCTGCCAGTGCTGCGAAAAGCTGCATGAGACGTTTCGTGAACTTTTACAGAAAAGGAAGAATGTCACTAAAGCCCCGGCCCATGCAATTTTCGGGTAAGGCTTTGCCATAGTCACCGGGTGCACATTCGCTGTACCTGTTAGTGCTTGCGGAAGGTTTCAAAAGACATTTTCCACTTCTGTTGCTGCTGGAGTGGTGCCAGCTGACAGCTTTCATACCCACGGGAAGTGGCTAAAGCAAAGCCGGTCTGAACTTGACTACAATGCAGGAGCTCTTAATAACAAGATCCCTTCTGGAGGACTCCTCTGTTTAGAAACAGTTGGGTTTTACTGTTAGGGACTATGCTGACTCCCCAAAGAATCTATGTCAGAAACACTCCACTTTGTGAAAGGACGTCCGAGATTAATAAGCCTCTACTGATACTCATGACTCAACATCTGAGTTACGGTAGCTTTCTGAAGAAAGATGGAAGTGGTTCAGTACACAGCAACTTAGAACAACAATATGGGCAAGGTAGCCATAAATTCAGGTGCAGATTAAAAAAAATAAAAAGCAGGGGGGGGAGGGGAATAGGGAACACTCAGGTGCTTTAACTTTTCTGAGTTAAAGCACAGATACCTTAAGTTCTGTGAAGGCTATTCCTGAAGCTGGAATAGCAAGTTAGACTCATCAGCCTGGAAAAAAAATCACCTGGGGATACGGTAGAAAACAACAAAGGCATCAATGGCAGATCAACTGCACAGGGATCAGCTGCTCGCTTCGTCTTCCAATACTAGGGATCACAGGCAAGCTAGGTAGAGCCAGGCTCAAGAAACTCAGCAACAACTCAATGCAATGGGCAATAGACCTGTGCAGCTGCTTGCCACAGTAGAATACTAAAGACGTCTACATAAGCTCAAGGAAAAACTGCACAAGTATCTGCAAGAGAGATTCATTATGGGCTACCAACTAGACAAACCAAAGTCCAAACCTCAGGAAATCCTCTGAACCAGAAAGCGTCAGGGGACGGAAAGAAGAGTAATCAAACACAAGCTTTTCTTCTTAATCCTCACTAGGCAGCTACTTACTGCAACTGTAGAAGGAAACTGGGCTAGGTGAACCTTTGATGTGAACCAGCACAGCCACTCTCCCATATTCAAGTGAGGAGACATGGAATTACCTCTTCTCCTTCACTGGAAGAGACACTCCTCTCTCCATGACAAGGACAGAGATTTCCTTTCCGCTAGTGTGGAGGTCCATTTCAGTCAAAACAAGACAGATAAACAACGTTCAGTTTACTTTCCAAGTGTCTCCACTTTGGAAGTCTGTCCTTGCAATCCTGCTCTACTTTCCAGAGTTAACAAATACATCTTAGAAGCTTATCAAATTTCATCTTAAGAGCTGTTCCGTGAGTTTTCATCTCCACAGCACCTACTCGAGTTTTATTCAGAAACACAATGGTCCTGTAATTAGGAACCTTCTAATTTCCATCCTGATCACAGCCAGCTTTTACCTATCTGTTCTTGTGCCAACAATTGTCTGGTTCTTAGCTAAGCTGCAAGCCACCTGACATGTTCACAATAACGGATCAATGGTCTCCTACAATGAAGCAAAGCAAAAGGTCAGATCTGCACCACAAAACACCTATTCAATTTTGACCTAGAATTCCAAGGTACTCCAAATCCCGGAGAGCAGAGTCAAAACATACATACGCATGCTTTAGATTCTGTGTTAGCCTGCTAATGTCAAGTGAAAACGCAAAGGGATTTTTCCTAATCAGAACCCTCAGACTGGAAAGAATTCAAAAAAAAAAGTGCAGACCTGTAAATAACTTCATAGGTATGTTACACACAGTTATGCAAGTCATTTATGTAATAGCTGTAACAATAAAGAGAAAATAAATTAAGATAGTAATAAAGTACAAAAAACTTACTTCCCAATGTTTTCAGGTAGTGCTTGCAGAGAGATGTCATTTACCGAAAGACACGTTAGATTCTGTAATTCAGGAAAGCTTTCAGGCAACCTGTGGAGATATTAATTCAGATCAAGGACTTCCAGCAGAAGTATTCACATTCATATAATACATGCTGGAAAAGAGAACATGTAGTGGAAAACAAGAGTCTACTTAGCAAATACACACAGAGGGAGGCATGTTCAGACTCCAGCATGACTCAGAAAATTCTAAAGACCATACTAAGGGAAAAAAAAAAACAACAACCAACCACCAAACCATGACTTAAGAGACTTTAAAGTTCCTTCTGTGTCAAAGAACAGGTAATATCCCTGTCTCCTAGCCCCTCTCTTCCCTCGCACCAATTTGCAACTCTATAAAGCTATAGGGCCTGAAAACATTTTAAGCATTTTAACAACTTTTTTTTAAAAAATCACACCTATTAAAAAAAAGCTTTTTAACTATTATTTTCCTGTATCAGCTAGATGGTAAAATAATTAAACAAATTACTTTCATTCAGACTTCAGTTACATACATGTTCACAGCACGGCCATTTCATATGAGCTACTAGGCTGCTTTTCAACTGCTGCTTTATGAAGAAACAGTCTGTTCACTATGAAAGTAACGTTCCGCTGTTACAGCATTTCACATTTACTGGTTCTCAACACAGCACCATATAATCACTCCCTTCTTACACTACAAAATGCAGCCATATGCAAAACGCTCCTGAAGTTCCCAAAGCCTTGAGGTCCATCACCAGGTTGGTCTCCCACAAGGCTCGGCTTCCCCTCCCCTTAAGTGGACGGATTTCCTCACCCCCGCTCGCTGGCAGCCAGCTTGCACCAAGCAGCTCCGTCTGCAGTTGCACAGGAGACAGGCTGGGGTAAGAGAGGCAATGAGGCAGAGGAGGAGAAGCCCCTGGTCCAGCCATCCAGCTTCTACTTGATCCCCAGAGCATGCAACCTAAGCTCAAGCTGTAGCATTTGCTTTGGCTCCTGCTGTCCCCATCACCCAGCTCAAGGCACATGCTATGACCTGCAGGCAACCAGCCAAAAGGAGATGCACACCCTACAGGCAAATACAACCATGCAGGATGCGGAAGGGGAAAAAAAGACAAATTACAGTGGGGGGCAGGGGAGAGTTTTCATGTGCTCATACTCCACTGCTTCTCGTTTTCCAGACCTTATTAACAGAACATGCTCAGTATCTCCGAAATGTGAGCTCCACTGTAACTACTCAATACCGTTTCAGCTCTAACAGGTTTAAGACTGGAGTTCAATGGTTTGATTATCTTTTGGTCAGCCCTGAAGCGGACACGTAGTTGGACTAGATGATGTTGTAGGTCCCTTCCAACCAGAACTAATCTATCTAGAGCATATAGTGGACTTCCAGTCTAATCTACAGTAGATGAACCTGCTTTTTATTAATATGAACCTGAAATCATCTGAAAAACAGAAAAATGGTCTCCCAGCCACTTATAATGCTGCAGGTTCGTCTATTATTGACATTGACGCAACATACTGTATTACTGGTAGGACATCGATTAGGAAGATCTCCGACTGGCTTTTAAGCTTAGAGGAAGTAAGGACAAGAATCAATGGCTAAAAAAAAGTTCCAGGACACCACACAGACAAGCAAATCATAGTAGACTTTCCTACTTCGCCTGGGCAAATTAATGCCAAAACGTACATGCTGTTATAGAGGCAAAACTGACTGAAATTCTGGATCTCATCACAGAAAATACCTGGCATCTGTGTGTAAACAGCTTCTGGTATCTGTGTTTTTTAACTTGGTAATCTGCTTGGAGTGATGCTTTCCAGGACACGCATACACTCTGCAGCTACTTTATCAAGAATTTTTAAAATTCCCTTGACCTGTCAACAAAGAGTTATGAGATCTATTTCAACCCCACCAAAAGGCCTTTCAACTCCTTTGTTAATTCCACTCCGCTGTAGCTGTGCATTACAACTACTGTTTGAGGACACGCATTGCTTGGGCCACAGGCCTTGTTCAGCACACAAAATAGAGAAGGATAACTAGCACGCTACCACAGACAATTTTGATGTCAAGACCATGAGGTGCAGCTCTGAGCTTTACATACTGCACACTAAATGCCTAGGAAAAAGCTGTTCGGTGACCCTCACCACTTGCGTGTCTCATCATCAGTTCAGCCTCAGTTTGCTTTGCGGGATTTTTGTGGTATTATTATCCTCGCTACATAAATGGGCTACAGAGGCACAGGCATTAAGATCACAAGTGTCCCTTTAATGCTCAGGGACGTGACTTTCCAGCGAACTTAGGACGCACTATGGGAAATATTCAAAGCGCACTTCTGAAGAACCTCAGCTGCACACGTGGGAGAAGCCGCCTTGCAAAACCGCTGGAGTGGCTTAAGATATTACAGACACCCTCTTGTTTGTCAGCACTCCTGCACCCCAGCCAGCCAGCTAATCGTGCAAGTATTCCTCGTTCATCTCAGTGCAAAGCAAAGCAGGCTGGTGAGCGACCACTGCAAATACTCTGGCTTATGTTACTTGCTCAGCATCACAAAGCAGCGCTGTGGCACGGGCTGGTTTAGAAAACAGTTCTCAAAATAATTTTCAAAGGCCTTAACTAGCAGATCACCTCTTCCTTGCTATCTCCAGCCTCATTTCACTAGATAAATTCCGAATTCTTCAGCAAATGGCACAGAGAAATGTAAACAGAACTGCTCTTCTGTGCTAAAAGTGTGCATAATCCCCAAACTCCAGCTCATCAGAACCCAGACTGGCAGCAGCCGCCGACAGACGCAGTGCGTTTTTGCCACATGTTACTGCATGTCACTGTGTCCCAATTGATGGGAGGGTACATGAAGCACTAGTCCAAGCTTTAATCGTTAGTAAAAGCCATTATCTGCAGCAGCTGATGTAAAGCCTGCTACAAATCGTCAGGCACCTGGGTTTCTGCCAATGCATGCATTTGTGCTAACCACCGCCTTCTCTCTCCCAAGTATGAGCATGGTTTTCCTATGCATTTAAGAAGAGGAATGAAAATTACTTGAGAGACAACCAGATTTACATTCTTCCTGGTTGGCTAACAAATTTCATCCCCTCCCAGGAAAGATGTGCATCACTTTTTAAATCTGAACTTTTGCTGCAGTCCCTGCCAGAGACAGACACTGTTGGCAAGATTTCATAGAGATCCTAGATCACAATTTTTAAGGGCTTATTTAAAATTGTGATTGTAACAGCAAGATTGTAATTCTAGTATGGCAAGTACTAAGAAGATGGTGGAAGTTACCTAGTCAGTGGATTCCCACTGAAATCTGCTACCTGTAGTGCTCTGCAGAATGAGATGCTTTCTGGTATTTCAGGAATATCTGCAGAAGGAGAAAAAAAAAAAAGGAAAAAAATTGTCAACAACTGTACTTCTTCTACACTGAAATTATTGCCTCATTACATTCAGAAACTTGCTACTGCAAGGAGTTATCTCGGTATCTTTCAAGACATTTCAACATGCAAGACGGTTTCACGTCCAAATACACAGCTATTGCGGCAGAGCCATTTTGTGCTTTTTCACATCCCATTTCCCCCTCCTGATCCACGCTTGTCTTCCTGATCCTAGACTACTCACCTGTCCTTGGACTAATCTTTATCAGCCTCTGCCCATCAAATAAAACAGACTCTATGTCCTAGGACTGTCCTAAAAAAACAATTAAAATCTGAACCTCTTGTAATTTGATCAACACACACCCACAGCCTGTGCCAGCAGAAAGTAGGTGGGGAGGGAAAACAAGGGAAGGGAGAAGAGAATGTGCAAGTCTCTCCACCTGTAACATACACCCATGGGAGCACAACCAGCCTCCCTCGCACTAAAGGATGGTAATTTAAAAATATTATTCAAATTGACAGGTCCCGTGTAAGTGCTAGTACGCTATTTCAGACTGCCAGAAAGTAATCAGAGGTAGTTGTATGTGAAAATCGATATTTTTTTTTTTTCCAAGTATCTTCAACATAACACGTTTACCTACCGAATCCAGGCATGATATCTTAAAAATAAAATTGTCTTCTGGGCACTGGCTGTGGGTCCTCCGGGCAAGTCCTTGTTTACTGTCATTGAGATCCAGCAAAAATGAAACAAACATGTTTGGTTTCCTTGTTTAACAATTCAGATTTTTATGATTCATTTTGAAAAGAATTCAAAAAGAAAAAAGGCAAGTCTTAAAGTAAAAGTCAGACTTCTGCTTCCAAGTTTTTTCCTATTTCCATTTTCTCTACAGAGCATTACAGCGACTCCCTCTCCTCTTCCTACTGTTCTCATCACAAAGAATGCCTTGTGAAATGCCTTCACAGATTTCCTCATGCAAGTGACAGCACCGACCTCAGCAGCCATCAGTGATATAAATATGCTGAAAAATATTTGGAAATTAGATAGCTTCCCACCTAGTTGAGTAACTCGGAATTGACTACCTATGTATTTCATTCGGCTCTTCTCCCCAAAAGCGGCGCAATGCAGGGAGGAGAGTACCTGCTCATCAGGCTCCTCTCTTGCCAGGTAATCCCAGCACATGCATCTGTTTTGAATGATTCCCTGCTCAGAACTGAACCCAGAGTGAGGAAGAACATCTTGTGAACTCACAGGTCGTGATTGTTGCAAACGATCAACACAAGGGCAGTAGAGGAGCATCTCCTGGGAAGCTTCTTCTGTTTCCTACATGAATGGGAAGCGCTGGAGGGAAGGAGGGAGATCAGCATCCCCAGATGGGTTTCACTCCATCCCAAGAGGTGTTTCCTCTTGGAATGGAAGGAAATCACTCCTCCCTCATGAACCCCAGTGCTCCCAGTACACTCACCAGGCACAGCTTTGAGAACAGCCAGGGCAGACAAACAGTTCCTAGTGCTACCAGTAGCTCTGAAGTAGTCTAATCACTAACCCCATACACTGCATATTCAGAAAATATATTCACTTTTACTAAATACCAGAATAATGAATGATGGGGGTGAATATCCACAGTGCAAGGCATCAACCAACCAAGCTGTGCTTCCACAACGCCAAACAAAGCCACCCGGGGTGAGGTTTGCACAGAGCAGTGTGCACAGCATAGAGAGTTCCCTCAGCACACCTGGTGAAGCAAAATAAACTACTTTTAAACCTACACAAACCCTAAGGTCTATCAACAGCAGAAGTTGTCCCAGAAAATGGAATATGTGACTTTAGAGATTAAGTCCCATCAGAGATGTTTCATATGTTCCTACCCACCCACTCCTTCGTAACAGCTTTGGTATTTGAGGTGAAACAGTCGATTTTTCTAGAAAACCAACAGCAAAGAGATAAATTCAGAGTGAAATGTCAGGCGAGGCCTTTGAGGGGAGAAGGGACAGGTCACCCTGAGTCCCCAGACCAGGACTAAGAGAGCTCACTCCCCTGCGGCAGCTTGCCTCACAGAAAGACCAGACCACATGGCAGGACATCAGCCTGGTGGGATGTCGGGCCGGAGAGCAACCAAGCCTCTCTGTCAGGCTCTTCAAACCTCTTCACGGGTGTCAACTCGGTCACAAGCCCAAACCCAGCACAACACGTGCCAGTGACACAGCCAACAAGCAGATCCTCCACGAAGAACCTCAGAAGCAGCCATGGAGCTACTGCAGGAGCCACAGAGGTCCTGGATTTAAACGGGGGCCAGCTAAACAACCAGCCTGTTTCAGAGTGTCACATTCACAAGTGTCTCGGCTGACCTTGCTGCAGGAATCAAAACCTCGCACTTTTTTCCTCTCACATGGTAGGGACAAACAGGTCTGAATAGTGGCATTTGAGTAACTTAAAAAAAAAAGTGTCATTAAGATTTTCTGATTAAATTATGACCTTGAAGTGATAAATTCTCACAACACTAAGTACTTCAAAGCATTTGCCTGTCACTAACGCTCCAGAAAGTAAAAGCATGGACTTCATTACAGGGATACTGCAAAACAGATGGCAAATAAACTACTACTCTTTCTTTTCTTTTTTCTTTATTAAACATTCATATAGAAGCATTCACTTTTGAAAAGGTGTTCTAAGAAATACAAACAATACACAGAAACTGAAACCTTCCAAACATACATAAAATCAAAAGAAAATCAAATCTGCATTTACAGACAGTAAAGCCGATGGCTTTACCCATTCCAGTCCTCTATGACTGAGTGACGCCTGTAGAAGACTGAATTTGTGCTGCAGGATTACTGAAGACAGAGGTCCTACATGCACTCAGAGGCTGTTATTTCTGCCTTGCATTGCAGCAATGACAAACACTGATACCGAGCTCTGCTGAGCAGCAGCAAGAAGTGTGTCATCCACCCTCAAACCATCCTTCCCTGGACAACTAGCTGGAAAAGCACTGAGAGGGTCACCACTATTTCACAGCTTCTGAGGGCTCAGAATAACTCGCTGCTTTGCGACCTAGCCAGTGTCTACAACTTTTATACATGCATATTTGTACACAAACACCCCTTTCACATACAGATACACACTTCCTCTGTGCGTGAATCATTCTCCCAAATAAAAAACAAAGAGCCCCACAAAACTCCAAGCTCAAGTAGAAGTAACATCCTAACTTGTTTGGAAAAAAAAATTAAAATATATATATATATACACACACATAAAAACGTAACATACCAAGCAGAAGATACATTTAAATCCTCAATGACAAAGTTTCTGAAACTAGTCATGCTATTGATTTCCTCCACCAGTGCACAGCTTCATCGCCATACTGCAGATACTTTCTCTTCCACTGCTGTATGATGGACTACGAAAACCAAAAAATGCGCCTTCGCAGCAAAACTATTTTGATAAGCCTTTTCTGTTGTTTAGTCTTGGGTATTATCCGTAACAGCCAACAAGTATCTGAGCTAAGTAAAAATTACTCCAATGTAAGATACTACTTGAAATAACACAGTGTAGGCACTGCTTATAGAAGAGAAATTCCATTTCCATGTTAAGCTTTTTTTTGCATGTAAAGTGCATTTTCCTCCCCACATTGATACTTTTTCTGTATCGGATTCGTTTCTGTCCTCCAGCTAACTGGACAAGGGACAGACAAAAATTCACTGCAACTCTTTGTACTGAGGATCATTATACATTTAGCACGTTCAATAAGGTTGAAATATAACTCATTTTAACTGCAAGGCATCTTAAAAAGATTTCTCAGGCAAAACACAACCAAGTTATGAGGAGATACTTTATCACTACACATGAAGACATTGCACTGAATAAATGAACTCAGAAGAGAAAAGGCAAGCAGCATTTTAGTATATGACAAAGAAAACTTGGAGTGATTACTACAGCCCAGAAGATGATGGTCCATAATAGAAGCATTGACATACTCCACTGAAACGCAGCAGAGGATATTAAAATACATAAAGAAGTCCTTCTGTCTCTTGATGGATTAAGCAGCTTTCACCATAACTGTTGCCTACTCGATTTCATTACAGACATTAACATGTACATCCCTGCCAATATCAGCAGCAGTAAGGTTGAATGCTTTTCTTGCCACTGCTGGATAACCAGCTCAAATCCTACTTAAATATCTAGGATTCTTCTGATGCTACGCACTGACGAATGCTCTACACTTACACGATGCCCCAGATGTTCTGGCGTACAGACTGTGCAGCACTGCTAATAATAAAGCCTTAAACCAAGCATAAGCCCTGTGACGTGTGAGAATACAAATACACTGGCAGCAAAAAGAAGTCGTGCCAGCAGAAGTGGATGAAAATCAAGCTTGGCAGTCATGTACATAAGAGGGCATCTTTCCCGTTCCCCTCTCCCCCCCCCTTCAAAACACCTCTTCAGAAGTTTATCGTTCTAGTTTGCAGAAGAATTTCCCACCGAGACAGCACGTCCTGTACAAGTGACTTAAGAGGTAAGTTTGACACTAGGGAATTCCGTACTGCGTGAATGAGAAAATTACTTCTAAAAATCCTTTTGTCTGGTGCTAATCTATTTTTTGTTGAAGATTTTTACAACAGCCACATCTCTCAATCCCTGTTCCCCCACCTTACTACTACCGACGCCTGGGAGGGTGGAGGGGAACACAGCCTTCATTTTAAACTGAGAAAATCTTTTGTATGGCACATTTTTACAGCATTGTATATTGAATTTCAAAAACCGACAGTAATTTTGTCTACCCAAAGGCTACGTGGCCAGCACCCTCTGCACATTCTACAACCGTGAACATAATTTCCAATATCTAATCAATACTAAGACAGCAACGGCCGGGAAGGTCCTAGCCTGCGATAGGGCCACCAGATCACAGCTACTCAAACAGTGGACTCTAGCCCAAAGTAAAAAGTGTTTTTATAAGAACTTCACTGCAGTCTCAAATGTGCCACGTTCCTGAGGGAG